AAAAAAATAATCAGATCCAATTTTAATTAGGCCGAAACCCAAACCGACCAACCCAACCCAAACTTGATTGGTTTGGGTTCGGTTGGGTTTAAATTATTGATGGGGTTGGGTTGGTTTGATTTTAGATCAAATCGACCATGTTGGGTTGAATTTTGTTTGGAAAAAAAAAGGATCCAATCCAATCCAATCCATGCCCTCCCCTACCAATAACATGAAAGCCGATAAACTCTTCAAAAAACAAATATTTCTGAAAAATTTAATTTGAACCCCTCCCGAAAATTTTGAGTGAGTAATTTACATTCTGGATAAAACACCGTGTGATAGTCTTTTGTAAATTTATGAATTAACAAGACGGTCAAGCTTAAGCTTAACTCCACTATTTACCAAACTCTATTACGAATTTCTTGTCAAATTATCTCTTTCTAATTTGAACTTGGTTTCTAACAGGGCACTTTGGAGTAAATGTCAAACAAGTGGTATTTGGGATGGATTCCCAAACAAGATTTTGAGTGATATCATACGGCTAGATTTTACAACTCTTATCAACTATTTATTTTCAAAAACGTAGTTGCATTCCCATGTATGAACTCGTATTAGAGGAAAAGGTAGTATGGCTAGATTACATCTATTCCATTCGTTATAATTTTTGAAAAACGTGGATGTATCTCCCTACATCAGGAATTATTCAAAAAGAACCTATCAACAATAATTGATTCTAGTTAGTGATGTTGCTTCACCAAAGGATTTCCTTGGCTTGTAAATGCATTAGAGTAATTAATTAAAGAAATTGAAAACTAAGAGCTTGTTTGTCTCCCATTATGGGAGAAATTATAGAGTTTTGAATAGTAATTTTTGGAGAATGTATGGTTAAAATTTAAAGTAATTTTACTGGTTTGTATGTAGAATATTTTATTGTGTAAATACGTGATGAAGAATATTACTGTAACAAACAATTTAATTTATTAATGAATGACAAACTGGGGCTAATCAAAGAAACAAAAGTTGCCAAGTCAATTATTGGTCAATAGTTTTCATTGTCAGAAGAAAATATTTATTTATGTATAATTTAACCATCTTTGGAAATATTTTTTTTGTTTTAATTCCAAACCCACTAATTAAAAATAACATTAATCAATAGAGTAAGAATTACTTAAACAAGTCACAATAAGGATATGCCTTTATTTGTAGAAGAATAGCAATGTTCATAGAGAGTGGTGATTGCTGACAATCCATACGATAGGGAGATTATGTTGTTGAATGAAGTTAGAATGTATATTTTTATTAAACAACGTAATAACAGCCTCATTGCTATATAAATAAAAAATAACGATCACTTTAAATAGATAGAATTACTCTTATTTGTAGGATAATGATATTACACTACAGCGAAATGCAACTCTGACAGTGCAGTAATTAACATGTTGTCCAATGAATTAAAATACATTTTAATTTTACTGGATAATATGACAATATTCTCGTTGCCACACAAATAGAAGATGATTTCCAATAAAAATAAATGGTTACTCTTATTTGTATCCTTCACGATTGTTATTATTGATGTTTTCTTCCAAAGGAGACAAAGTGTAATGACATTCATCAGTAATGATCATTGTCCACGTACTAGCTACCCTAACCTTTATCTAGTTTCTACCTTCCTGGAACGCACCAATCTTTTTCATAAAGTACCCAAATCATTGTCTTAGTTCTGGTAAAGTATCCAAAAACTTTCTTGAATAGTTAATCAATCTCTCTCTCTCTCCCCCTCCCCCTTGGTGTGTTCCTCCTTCCTTGTGCGTGTTTCTGCACAAAAAACCAAAGCAGTAGATAAAAAATTCTGGGGACATGGCAAAAATTGAAGAAGTATGTGTTGTTCAGGCTTCGAAGTCTGCAGATCATGTCAAGAATTCACCAACTAGGATAGAGTTGTCTCCATGGGATCTACGGCTTCTATTAGTAGATTACAACCAAAAAGGTCTTCTTTTCCACAAACCAGAAACTCAACAAGTAGGAGGAGAAGGTTTGCTCCATCACCTTAAAACATCATTTTCTCGCACACTAGATTTCTTTCCCCTTCTTGCTGGTCGCCTTGGAATTGATAAATTTGAGGACGAAACGGAGTGCTTTTTCATTGATTCCAATAATGTTGGAGCTCAATTTACTCATGCTATTGTCCATGGCCTTACTGTAAATGATATTCTCGAGCCAAAATACGTGCCTGAAATTGTTTACTCCTTTTTCCCACTCAATGGGATTCTTAACTGTGAAGGAATATCCAACCCTTTGCTTTGGGTTCAGATAACTGAGCTCAAAGATGGGTATTTCATTGGTTGTAGCATGAATCATTGTATAGCTGATGGGACATCATTTTGGCATTTCTTCAATTCTTGGTGTGAAATCTCACGGGGATCTGATCATCCATCAAAACTTCTGAGTCTCGTACGTGGGTTTGCTCCTGATCATCTTAATTAAAATTCCTTCACTTCAGAGAGTTTTTTGATGAATTCAGTCGGCCCCTGTTGAAAGAGAGAGTATTTAGTTTTAGTAAAGAGAACATTGCTAAACTCAAATCCAACGCCAATGATGAAGTTGGAAAAACATCTAGTATTTCTTCTCTACAAGCACTTTTGGTTCATGTATGGCGATCTGTGATACACTGTCGTCGAATTGATGATGCAAACCAAAAGATTACTTTCATGGTACATGTGAGTGCAAGAAATCGGCTATGTCCGCCTTTGCCGGAAGGTTATTTTGGGAATGCTATTCATGGAGGCGTCTTAGCGCGCACGCCAGAAGAGTTGGTAAGCCATGGACTAGGTTGGACTGCCCAGATACTGAACCAAATTATAGCTAAACAAACTCATGAAGAAACAAGGAATTTCTATGAAGAATGGATAAAAAGCCCTCTGATTGTGAAGAAGGACAAATGGAGTAACATTTTTATCGTAGGCAGCTCACCCCGGTTCGACGTGTATGGAAATGATTTCAGACGGGGAAAACCGGTGGCCGCGAGAAGTGGATTGGGAAACAAATTTGATGGAAAGTTGACCGTATTCCCGGGGCTCGAGGAAGGGAGTATAGACATTGAGTTTTGCCTCTCGCCCAACACTTTGCTACGGAGAATGACGTGGAATTCATGCAATTTGTTACCATGAAGTAGCATGGATAAATTTTTTGTAGTTTTTTAATGATGTTTGTTATCAATTTATATATATATATCAAGATTCTCTTATGCTGTTTTCTTAGTTGCACAAGTGCATTTCCATATTTCTCCAATCACCTTGGCTGACGGCGCAACAGTAACACCACCGGCAGCACCGCCTTTGACAGTGCAACCACCCCCAACAACCACACAGATATTACTTCTTCCCCTCTCATCAAAATAAATGTGTCCACTCAACTGTCACTCAAACTCATATCTTCAAACTACTTCTCATAGACAGCACAATTCACGTATATCTTCTCTTTGGCCCGGATTTACTTGGTCATGTTGATGGCATTCTTCTAAACCTAAGTTTGTGTTGTATTATTATGTTTCGCCTGTCCCAAAATAAATCAAGATTCTGAAATGCTGTTTTCTTGGCTGCACAAGTACGATAAATAAGGTTCCTTAACATATTATGTAGTAATATCTAAAAGCCATCATGTTCATGTAAAAATTTTGGCTGAATGATGTTCTCGTTCGGGATTGCTTTTTTTATATAGGAATTAAGCTATACAAAATATATAAAGAAAATCATACAAATATGGTAAGAGAATTATACAAATATGATTACAGAATAAGTATGGTAAATAATCTTCGTCAATCTCATTAACATCCTTTCAAATTGACGCTGGTCGATTAAGAAGCTTCAATTTGCTAGCAAAATTGATGTTGCTATCTCGTCACTGCCTTAGTAAACACATTAGCAATATGAATATCGGTGGTGCCATGTGGAAGAGAAATAATTCGATTATCATAAGCATCTCATATGGAATGACAATCCACCTCAATATGCTTAGTCCGATCATGAAACACAGGATTAACATTAATTTGAATGGCACTAGTGTTGTCAGCATGAAGTGGAGTAAGTTCAAACTGAGGGTAACAAAGTTCCGCTAGAAGACCTCGAAACCAAACAATCTCAGAGCAAGCAAATGACATAACTCTCAGTGGAAGATTTAGAAACGCGATACTACTTCTTACTTCACCATGAAATAAGCGCACTCCCAAGAAACATACACCAACCTGTAATTGAGCGACGAGTATCCATACATCCAGCCTAATCGACTTCACTATAACCTATTGACTTCAAAAATGAGTTGGTTGGGAAAAAAAAGACCCTTGTTAGGTGTACCAATAAAATATCTAATAATACGACGAACCGTGGCTAAGTGAAGATGTTGTGGGGCATGCATGAATTGACATACTTGCTGGACAGCAAAAGAATTATCGGGTCGTGTAATAGTAAGATAATTCAAACAGCCCACTAACTGACAATATAAAGATGGATCAGAAATAAGATAACCCTCTTCCTTGCGATACTTCACGTTTACCTCTAAAGGAATGTCAATAGATTGACCATTTCGAAATTCAGCTAATGTAATCAACTCCTCTGTATACTTATGCTAATGCAGGTAAGTCCCGAATGAAGTTGAAAGCACCTCAAGACCTAGGAAATATTGTAAGGTCCCAAATCCTTCATATAAAACGATTCCTTAAGTCGATTTTGAAAGTGAGATATCAATCTTGAGTCAGTCCCGATAATAACTATATCATCCATATAGATAATAAGAAGCACAGTACCTGCCTAGTTGACTGAGATAAAGAGCGATGAGTTATATTATATTTGAGTAAAAGAGAACCCCAAGAGAGTGGAACGAAACTTGTCAAACCAAGCTCGAGGAGCCTGTTTCAACCTATAAAGTGAGCGCTTTAGTTTACAAACATCGAGTGAGGGTTTGGAGAAGAGACCTACTGGAGGTGATATATAAATTTCTTCCCGAAGATCACCATGTAAGAAAATATTTTTGACATCCATTTGTCGCAAAGACCAATCCTTGGAGGCAGCTATAGAAAGAACGGTACGAACAGTTGTCATTTTGACAACAGGAGCAAAAGTCTTCTCATAATCCACTCTATATTCTTGGTGATTACCAAGAGCCACCAGTCGAGCTTAATATCGATTTAGAGAACCATCATAGTGTAGCTTAACAGAGTAGACCCACTTACACCAAATAAGTTTGACCCCAGAAGGGTAAGGAACAATATCTCATGTGTGATTCTCCTAAAGAGCTAGGAGTTCCTCTTACATTGCTTTCTCCCAACAAAATTAGGTAACTACCTAAGAATAAGAAGTATGAACAATAATATGAGATAAGGTTGTCATCCTCAAATTTATTGAGTGGAGCCAAAACAGAAGAGGACATTACATGTTGCTGGAAGTAATACTGATTCTAAAAAATAACCACATTGCGAGAGATACGAAAACGATTAGCAACTCCATCATAACAGAAAAAATTCTTCTGAGCAATACTATAACCCATACAAGCACATCATACAGATTGAGCAACAAGTTTATGACAAGGCAGACGAACAAAACAAACACACCCAAAAGATGAAAAATATCATAACTAGGATGTGTACCGTACAGACAAAAATGAGGCTAGTTAAAATTTAAATGTTGAGTGGGAAGCCGATTAATTAGGTGTACAGCTGTGGATAGAGCTTCGACCCAAAATCTAGGCGAAACTAAAGATTCCACAAGCAAAACTCGAACAAAATCCAACAGGTGGCAATTCTTTCTTTCGGCTACCCCATTCTGTTGTGGAGTATATTGGCAAGAACGTTGAGATATAATACCCTTTTGTTGCAAGAAAGTTTGACGATCATGAGACATATACTCTCCTCCATTGTCGGACCGTAGACTCTGAATGCTGACATAAAACTGTATCTCAGTGTAAGCTACAAAAGTCCTAAAAGTGGTATTGACCTCACTTTTAGAACGAAAGAAAGATATCCAAGTGTAATGAATAAAATCATCAATAAATGTTACAAAATATTTATATAGAGCATGTGAAGTGACTAGTGTTATGACTCAAACGTCACTATGAATAATTTGAAAACATTTATTAGCACGGTTGCCATCAGTGGGAAAGGGAAGAGTCTTACGTTTACTAAGTTTACAAGTATCAAAATCAAAATTCAAATTTGAGAACTATAAATGATCTTTATTACCAAGAAAACCATATTTCATTAAAAGAGATTTAAGTGTTTGGATGCCCTAATCTTTTATGCCAAATCTCATGTTTGAATCCAACACTAATACAAGCCAAAGACATAGCATTAGGAATAGTAAATTGTAATGAGAATAATTTTCCAACCTTAGGCCCTTTCGCGATCACTGATCCTCCACAAGACAACCGCACGAGAGAAACATAGAGTACAATTATTATCATCTAATTGATCAACCGAAATCAAGTTCGTAGATAGGCTCAGAGATACAAAGATATTATTAAAAGGAGATCCAAGATCACCCACAGCAGTGATAGGAAGGGTACTGTCATTAGCGATTTGAATATGTTGTGAGCCAGTATAACACCAAATATTATGCAACGAATCAGAATTACCTATCATATGATTTGATGCCCCTGAATCAACAAACCAAGGAGGAAAAACAACTGTACCTTTGCCTTGTAATCCCAAGGCAGAGAAGGCAGAAACAATCATTTCCCGGACCATTTCTAGGGTAAGTACCAGTTAGTTTGTGCTAGCTTGCGGAGGTGCAGGGGTAGTATCTTGAATATCGGCCTGGAATGCTTTAGCCTTCGATACGGAGGTCGTGTGGTACATTCTTTGATGATATGTCTTGGTTGCTTACAAAAATTGGAGACTATTTGAGTACAATAACAAGCAATATAACCGCATCATTTGTAGCTGAAACACTGAAGTTTACTCTTTCCCCGTCCTTGGGCAACATATGCAATGTTGATCGCATTAGCTGAGGAGAAATTAGTTCCAATATTAGCTTGAGTAGCCAATCGTGTTGATCTTCACATAACAGTTTACCTAGACACATATCCAATGAAGGAACTAGATTAAGATTTAATAAACTCGCTTGAACCACTTCAAATTCGGGTTGCAATTTCATTAGGAATTGATCTCACTTGCCAACTTCTTTAACATCTTGTAGTGCTAATAACGTTGTCACGGTGACCTTGGCATGAATTATGCCGAAGTACTCACTCTACAAGTTCAAAAAGCCAGAATAATATTGCTCAAGAGTGAGACTACCCTAACTATAGTTGGCAATCTCTAACTCCAGCTGAAATCTTCCAGCAATATTGTCTTGATAATAAATGCGCTTTAAATACTCCCACATTTCCTTAACAGTAGTGAAACAACAAAAATTATTCACTAGGTGTGCCTCCATAGACCACAACATTCAGGAAATAATACGAATATCATTTGTTTCCCAAGTACCGAAATCCTTGGCATCTTCAGGTGCTTTAGAAAACCCATCAATATAACCCCAAAGCTCCTTTCCTTTTAAAAACATCTTGAATTGAAATTTCCATATCGAATAATCTTCCCCATAAATTTAACACAAAATGCTTCAACTAACATGATGTTGTATCAAGAAGATCAACCAAATGTGCCAAAGTAAAATCAACTCACACCAAATACTAGCCCACAAGTTGGTAACCTAAGAAATAATTAAATTCACAAATTATTGGCCCAATTGAATAATCAAACCACACAAGTGGATAACCCACACTAAATAATCAAAGACCACACAATGATTGACCCAATTTAATGATCAAAACCCACAACCCACACCAAATAACCAAGGCCAGTACAAATTAAACCAGGCCACAATTGTAACAGAAGCCCAGTGATGCTGAAATCACGTCGATCATGGACAGAGGAACGTTGAACACCAGAAACCACGTCGAACACCCATAAAGACACCGAAAATCGCATCAAACACCCACAGACACCAAATGTTTTGAGACAAAACTTCGGCCACCAAGAATTGTTCACACAGTAATGACGATGTCAAAGACGCTGTACCACACCGATTGCACACACAAAAAGGCTCGATCGAACTTCGATTACACCATAGGCAGAAGAAAACTGAAAATCAAAGATTCAGTGATGAATTCTAGAGGTAAGCTCTGATACCATGTAAAAGTTTTGGTTAAATCATGTTCCCGTTCAAGATTGCTTTCATTATATAGGAATAAAGCTATACAAAACACGTAAAGAGAATCATACAAATATGGTAAGACAATTTTACAAATATGATTACAGAATTAAGTATGGTAAATAATCTCGGTTGATCTCATTGACAATTCATCTTGTAACTAGGCAAAAACAGAATACTTGCCTGTTCAACAAAAAGATTGACTTGCGTGCTGTTTCCACCAGCAACTTCAAATGAAAAATGCACAATCTCATATATTTATTCATTTCTCATTTTCATGTCTATCTTAATTGATTGTATGTTGTCTTTCTTGTAATTGTATATACAACAAGATGTATAATAAAATATGCAAGCCTCTCTCTCTCTCTCTCTAACAGATGAAAAATATAACTTCCCACCCCAAGCAACAAATCAAACTACATGCATCACAACAGATTATATCACCGTGGCTAAATTCTGTCAGTCGACTCCTGCAGCTTATGAGAAGGGTATTTTCTTGCTGTTACCTTTCCTTTTTCTCCAGAATAGCTTCTTAAACAAACTTACACTTTGTTTTTTATTCAAAGGGACCATGGCCAAGGTGCCAACAGAACTTTTATCTTTTTCATTATTAATTCCATGGGAATTAGTAAGCTGCACCAGAGAATCTGTTGTTTCATCGGTACCAACAACAGAACAATTGGTTCCATCCCGAACAGCTTCTTTCATTTCGGGAAACTTATCATTGCCAGTTTGAGCATTATCCTCGGCCAGCATTTTATCTAGTAGGGACTCTCGCTGGTTAATTCTCCTCTTAGGAGTTGGCATGCTGGTATCCGCTGGAGTAGAATTGACCTTATCTGAAGGGGCGGCATCCTTAATGGAAGCTAGTGCCTCCAGTTGCTTACCCAAGTTTAGGATAGTTTCCTCGCATTCTGCCAATTTCTTGGAAGCTGCCATAATCTCCCGATTCTACAAGGTCAATTATCAGCATAAATGAAATTGTGTAAATGCAAAACCACAATCATTCGAGACATGATTTGTTTTTAACTTAACGTTATAAATCACTATCAACAAAGAGGTCAATTGTAAGAATATTTCCCATGGATAGTTCTTTTCTTATTTATATCTTTCATGTCTGCTTAATTTCTAAGGTGAACATCTGAAAATTGTCTAGAAATTCTCATTCTGATCTGAAGCATTGGAAAGAATATTAGAGAAGAGTATGCATATGATGCCCCTTTTTTTCTATCCATAAATCTGTAGCCTTTCAAGCAATTTTCCTACTCTTGTTTTCATTTTCATATGATTCCACTACATGGATTATGGGAAGATTTTTTCTACTGATTAAAGTAACAGAATTCTTCCAGAGTTGAGTTTCTAGGAAAAAAAAAATATTTAAAAACATGCAATAGCATGAACAGTTTATCATGATAAAAAGGCCACCTTTCCATAATATAAACACCCCAAACATAAATTGAATAATTGATATAAACTTACATTCTGGAGTTGTTTTTCCCTTTGCTTTCCATCTTCTGGATCTTCCTTCCTTGTCATGCTGACATTATATATTTCAGAAAACAGATGTTGCAAAATGCATGTATTTGCAAATAAAAAAAAGGGTGAACTGTACCTTTTTAGTTGGATCTGCAATTCATGGCACGTCGCTTCAAGTCTTTTAGAAGAATTATTTTTCTTTTCTAGCTCATTTTCTAGAAATGAAATCTTTTGGCAAGCTTTGTTCAATTCAAGATTGGCTTCCTCTAGCTGGGACTCCAGGTCTTCTTTCATCATCTTGTGTTTTTCAACTTGATCTTCAGTTTTGGCCTTTGATTCCTTCATAGTTTCCATCTCTGATTGCAAACTCTCAATCATGTCTCTAGTTTCTCGAAGTTGAATCAAGAAGGATTCACTCTTTACATTTTCTAATTGAAGCCTTCTTTCCAAATCCGCAATTGAAGATTCTCTGTTCGCCAATTCAACAGTCAATCTTCTACATTCTTCTTTCAGATTAAGATGAAGTCCCTCTACTTGACATGAACTCTTACAACCACTCAGAGGAGAAACTGTGGAAGGGTATGGCATCTCTTCTCTTCGGAGAAACATTTTATTTGATTCTGCACAATAATTGATCAATCCATTATCTACTTCACTCTCACTTCGTGATTCATAACAATCAAAATGATATCTGATTGCATCCTTCATGCTTGAAACGTCTTGAAGGGAAAAACAGTGGTTCATGATCCATTCTAAGTTGGTAGCTACTTGTTCGGCAAACTGTTCAAGTTCCGTTTTTCCATTCAACAAATCATTGCAAGTCTGAACAAATTGCTGTAAAATGGCAGAGAGTTCAGATGTTTTCCATTGAAAAACGCGGACCATGTAGCCTGATGGGGTTTCTAAATCTTTATATGGTAAAAGCTTATCATCCTTTCCCCAAAAAGATCCGGCTTTTGAATTAGCCAACGTCGATATATTTATTCCTTCAACGAGTTTGATAATATTACATAACGATACTCTCACACCAGAGTGGAATTTCTGGGCATCCTTCTTTGTGTTTGATACATTATTTCCAGATCCTCTATCAGGCACTTCAATGCTTGAAGACTGACTTGGTAATTTTTGAAAAATGCATCCACCAACTTCAGGGGAACACAATGCTTCAGGATCGGTACTTTCTTTGTTATTAAGAGTTGTAAGGTCTAAATCATTGATGTGTGCCAAAGCAATTTTAACATCCTGCAATACTTCATCAGGATTTCTCTGTGTTTCATGACTTTGCAACAAAATCTGTTTCAGCACATCACCAAGCCAGCCAGGAACTTTATGGCCTGCTACATTATCAGACTGCATTTTCCTGCTAGAGACCAAAAGATCCAACTTACCATCATAAACTGGAACCATCTTCCTACCAGGTCCAGTAGAAGAATTCCCATCAGATGGACTCCCCGAGGGACCACTAATTACGTTACTTTCCTCCGAGGAATGATGGGAACCTCCAGCTGGATAATCCACAGAAACTACTGTTAGTTTTTCCATCTCGGCAAAGTCATCCATGAGATTTGTGTCTGAAGTTCCTACAGCAATGCGAGATGGTGTTCCCATTTTCTTCTCATTTTTGAAATGCTCCATTTCTGACATCAAAGCAGAAGCCCAAGACTCAGCACAGCTGGTTTTTTCATCACTGTCCAAATCAGACATTGATGCCAGAGTAAGTTCCTGAGCAAAATGCATATGCTTCCCCAGTTCTGCAGTTGTTTGACCCTTTGATGATTCTTCAAGTTGTTCTCCAAACTGTGATAATCTGGAAGCCATACGCGCATATGCGGTTTTAGAAAATTGAAGTTCATTTGATTTCTTCTTAAGGGCTTCTTTAAGAATTCTGTTTTCTTCTTCAATTGCATGCAACCGCTCAGTCGGGGACATGGTCCTTCTGCTTAATGTCTCAGGGGAGGTATCTACAGAGAAGTCCATTGAACCAGCCAGAGAAGGATTTGACTTTCTTCTCCGAGTTTCAAGCCGATTCCTTCCAAGCATATCAACTTCATTTTTCATTTTTGCCACAGCAGCAGGGCCAGGCAACCGCTGTCGGACAAGGAGACGTAGCCTCTGACATTCTGATTCCAATTTGGCAATTTTCTTCGCACTTTCCAGGTGTTGCTTATGTGCAACATCAGCTGTTCGATGATTAAATTCTCTTTCCTCATTCCGAATATCGAGCTCCTTTTCAAGAACCCGAACCTCATATTTCAGGGAAGCTTTTTCTTTTTCTGTAGATTCTACTCTTGACATAAGGGCATTAAAATCGGTCTCTACCTGAGATCTGTGCTTATTCAGATCTTCTATCACCTTGTCCTTTCCCAAGAGAGCCCTCATGAGTTGAGTATTTTCACTGTCTAATTTGGCGAGCCTCACACCTGCCTCAGCTAACTTTTCATCTAACACAATCCTTGTTTTCTCAAATTCTTCTGATGCCTTAACCACAGCTTCATGAATTCTACTCTCCTGCTCTTCTCGAACAAAACGCAGTTGCTGCATACACTCCTTCAGTGCAGCATCCAAGTGACTCAATCTCTCTTCAGCGGCTGCCTTCTGCTGCAAAACTTTTTCGAGTTCTTGTTTCATAAATATTGCTTCTGTCTCTGCCTTGTCCCAGCCTATTAACATAAATATATCAGAGAGAGATCAAATTTTGAACAAGACTACAGGAAAATTTTGAGAAATACTTCTGTGTAATGAATGTGTACAGTTCAAAACACAAAGGAGAAAATAAGTTAGTTACAATATTGTTGAACAGTATATCACCTGCAATAGCTTCCTGTCCAATTTTCGTCTGTTTCTTCGTAAATTCATCCTTGGCATTACACTCAGCAAGGGCAGAAGAAAGCTTGTCATTTAATATTCGAATCTCTTTTTCTAGGTCTGCTTTCTCAGTCAGAAGAGTCTGTACCAGAAGAAACATTTAATTAGCAGTGTCTGTATCCACAGAGACAATATGTTGGACGAAATATCATATAAAGAAATCTAATTCATTTCTATTTTGTCAGGGTTCATACAAAAGTGGGTGCTATTTTCCTAATTTTACTAACACATTAGGATTTTGTATTCAGTTATGTTAGGCTGTATTACTACATCTGGAACTTGTATCTGGTAAAAAAAAAAAAACCAAAAGAAATTTAACATTCTCAACAAAATGTTATAATGTAGATATTTGCATGGTCACGGTGGAAAAGTCAACTGGTAGATCTTGCTTTCTAGGAAAGGTGACTATGAAGCTTTTTATTAAAAGATTATCCTCGAAATGCTGCATATTTTATCAAAATTGATGGGGTTGATTCAGGAAGAATCGTTTATATAGGAAACTTAGGGGTAATGAGACCAGAAAGCAAGTTGTTACGCCTCGCCAATGAGGCTCAATTTATTGCCCACATACTACGTGGAATCTGACAAGTCATGAGCAATCCACATCATCCTGATTAAAAATAGCTGAAGCCCCCAGCGTTTCAAAAGTTCATCCACGAAAAGAAGCACTATGATGAAGCCCACATATAACGAACTAAGTTCCCCATCCGAAGTACACATCATCCGAAGCACCTTCACCGAAGCCACCCAAGGCTTTAGACAAATGACTGTTCCCAAAAAGATCCATTGTGAGAAGATATGGTGAAAGTGACTAATGTGACAGCCTGCAGCCCAAACAAGTCAAATCCTATCAGCTTACTAGAAAAGAATGCTGACAGACTGTAGGACGGCTCCCCCTTTCCTAGATACTCAAGTGTAGCCTAGGGCAAGTGAATGATGGAACGTCTGCGATGAAATGTTCCAGTGGGTTGAATGAAGCCACATGCGCTTCATCCAACGGTCATGGTCTTAATTGTAACACTATATATACCCTCCCTTGTACCATTTAAAGGGTAATGCAATTCTAAATATCAGAAAACACACAACTATCTTTCTAAATCCTGAGTTTATACCTTCAGTTTGTTCTTATATGTATGCAAATATGACCTTCCATAATATTGTTGTCGTGTTCGAATAACCCCGGTGCTTGAACATCTTATTAGCTAGCGTCCAAAAGAATGATCTTTTCTACATGTGGCAACGTGTGAGTGCAAGTAAGGCCCGGGTTTCTGTTGGCTCATTTTTAGGGGTCAACACAAGGCTTCTCAATTCTTTGGGCTTAGTATCAAAGAAGAACAGGGAAGCGTGATAGAGATCTTTATGGTCGAGACTTTTGAGTAGCTCAGCCATTGTTCTTGTGCTCTGTTGACTGAAAAATGCGACACGAGAGGAAGCTTCTATTAGAGAACTTCATCCTAAATGGATTGTTGTGTTTTTTCAGTGACAACATTCCTAATAGTCTTTTGCAACCAACCATTAAACAATTAAAACTTCCATGCACGAACAAATGATTTTGACAGTAAAATTTCCAGGAATTTGGCTGTGCCTCACTCACAATTTGTAATTGAGTAATTGTTTAATATCCCGACATATCTAAGCTGTAAGATAGAGAGGTAGCAGGCAGGTAGCAGGCACAACTTACATTACCAGTATTTCCTAAGCTAAGTTGCCTTAAATTTTGTCATTAATCACAAGCAATAGTTCTATGAAATTTTTTGATCCAATGTCCTCAACATGAAAAAAGAGAAACGTTTGGCAATGCCTTCATATTTTTATTCATGTCACTCACATGTTTAACATTTATTTTCTAGGTACAAGTCTAAGTTCAATTTCACGGAGCACCCAAATAGTGGACAGCATGTGAACTTGACCAACACAAAACCAGCACGAAAGAAATGCAAATTCGCTGAACCTAATTTCGTGTAGAAGCATGTATAATAAAAACAACTGTACATCAAGTGAAATCAATAAAGGCATCGGATCAACAAGTTAATAAACCATACTTCAGTTACCTCGTCGTCGTTTCTGCTTTTTTGTTTGTCAGATACCAAGGTCTTCTCTGTGGATTTTTTCCTCCAAATCCATGAGTTCTGATCCATGATGGTTTTTTAGATTATCTTTGCTCAAAAAGGTGTACAAAGTGAGGACTTTCTGTCAAAAATTGTACAGACCTTAGCAATTAGGTCACACTAGAAGTTCATGCTAAAAAAATTAGTCACTGGTCTATTACATATGCATCTACTAGAGTAGGAAAGGTCGTGAAAGAGAAGTCAAAACCCTGGCATGTTTTAATATAGCGATGAAAATATTTTGTCTCACATTGTTTGTAAATCAGCTTAAAAAAGGACGTGATGAGGAAGATGACTGATTGAAGGTAATAACATTTCGTTTAGATGAATCTTTCAAGAAAAATGATATGCATACAGACATGTATCCAAATACACTACTAGTAAATGTATTGCACTCACAGAAAAGTGTGACAAAATCTCACATGTAAGCTCTGAAGAAAATTATTTCAGGAATAAGTGTTGAAGTCTTCAGTATTGTGGTAAAGCTTTTTCTAAATTTTCCATCTCTGCACAATAATCACTTAAAATTTTTTCGTCATTTTTGAACTTTGAACGTAGAAACCTCATATGTCTCAACAATATTGACATAGACGAACTTATATATTACCAACTTTGTGTCAAAATATTTTTATTTTCATAAATGTTGAAGACGAGATTGATTTGCATAACAGGTTAGAAGACAAAGTGGTAAAGAAAAATTAATAAATGGTAACATAATGGTAAAATATTAAATTCAATGAAGCAGAAAATGATCTATACAGGCAATCCTAAATTATTGGGAAAAAGTGTCTTGTTGCTGTGAAAAATATTTCCCAATATATTTCCCAATATTAATTAAACCTAGAAATGGATTGTTCACATTACAAAAACTTCTTTTGCAGCATTGAAGCATTTTCATCTTAAAATGAAATAAGCAGTAGCAAGCAAATAAGCAGCAGCATAAACAATAGTTAATCCCCAAAAACACAATGAACAGCTATGCCTATAATTAATAACTAAAATCATAACACAATTAACTTCAAGACATTATGACATAAATGATGATCGCATTCATGATTCACCTACCGACTTAACTAGCGGAAAGCAAGAAAGCAGATAAGATGCGAGGCTTCAAGGAAATACGGATCAAATGTGGAAGTGATGAAACTATGCTGCTTCGTCTGCGTGTATATAGTGTCTGGAAGCAAAAGTGTGTGTAAGAGAGTGAGTGGAGAAGTTGTTGGGTGGGAGGACAGCGGGTCTGGATCTGACAGTTGGGAAGTCGGGTCAGTGAAAGGAGCTGGTTGCTTGGGTCCGACGGGCCGGTAAGAGCGGGTGTCACCTACCGACTTAACTAGCGGAAAGCAAGAAAGCAGATAAGATGCGAGGCTTCAAGGAAATACGGATCAAATGTGGAAGTGATGAAACTATGCTGCTTCGTCTGCGTGTATATAGTGTCTGGAAGCAAAAGTGTGTGTAAGAGAGTGAGTGGAGAAGTTGTTGGGTGGGAGGACAGCGGGTCTGGATCTGACAGTTGGGAAGTCGGGTCAGTGAAAGGAGCTGGTTGCTTGGGTCCGACGGGCCGGTAAGAGCGGGTGTCACACTGTCACGATCAAGTTTATCCATATGTGTCCATATCTTAAGGAACCCAAAAATGAATTTATCCCTACCAAAAAATAAAAATAAGAAATTAACTTTCAGAGAAAAAGCCTACAAATAGAAATGTCAATTGGATCGAGCCGACTCTGCTCATCAAAACTCGGTTCATGGGTTGCTCTTACGAGCCCGAACTCGAGTCGAGCGGGGGTCCCGTCCAACGAGTCGAGCCCACTCGGCTCGTCGAGCTCGTTGACGGTTCGTGGGCTGAGCCCACGAGCCGATTTGTCCAAAAATGTGGAAAAAAATAAAATTTTATCAATAAAATTTGCAAAAAAAAAAAAAAAAAAAATTCACGAGCTCGTAAGCCGCTCGTGGGCTCGCCCTGGCCCAAAAGCTCGTGGCTCGTGAGTACACGAGCTCGCCCACGAGCAACGAGCCGAGCCGACTCGGCTCGACCCACTGCCATCCCCACCTATAAATTTGTATGCGAAGGGATAGTGATCCAATTGTTGACTTCATGAGTGGTAATGGTAAATCATTATTCTGATGTACAATCGTAAGAACTCGTTTAACAAAACTTTTTTTTATTTTTATATTTTGTGAAAGAACTTTTACAAGCTTAGATCATTTTTTAAAGAATAATGTTATTTACGATCACTCATTAACGCAATCACCTTATATGACAAGTGTCGTAACAATTAGTGATTTGATGCACGTGATAAAAAAAATTTCATATTAATATATCAAATCACAAATTGTTATATAAGATGTCACGTAAAACGACTATCGTAGTGAACGATTATAAATAGCATTACTTCTTTTTAAAAATACATTTTTAATCGTACAAAATAATTTCAAAAAATTATTCAAGCCGGTGCTAAGTCAACTTTACATTTAACTTTATAAATGCGTCATCATGGAGCACTAATGATGAAAGTAATCATGTCTGTATTCCACTGTTTGTATTGTATTGCATGTTGGAACATATTTTTTGAGACTTCACATTTCTAATGAATTTTGTTTCTTTCTTTCTTTTTTTGTTTTGGTATTTTAAATTTAAAACACGTAATAAGAAATACGTTAAGTATTCCGTGATAATCTTTGACACGTGATGATCTCGTTAAAGATATGTATACACATTGTATAACTAGAGGAAAAAAATATTCTTATATGTTATGGATACCGAAAAATCTTTAAAATTCCACTGCTTTGTTTTCAATTCATCTCTGATCATCAAATGACGTGTAAATAACCATCCTCCCTTTGAAAGAAGAGAAGTGGCGCTTTCGATTCTATCAACGTGATGATCTCGTTAATAAATGTATGTATAACACTGTATAATTAAAGAAAAATTAAATTTTTTTAAAATTTTTAAAATTATGCTATTTAATCGTCTATGACCCAGTGTACTAATAGTCGACATGACTGTATTTGCATTGATCATTTAAAAACGTTTTAGCAAATTACACGTTAATTGTGATTTTAGAGTTCAAATCACTCAAAAGTTGCCTCTGATTAACATGTACCTACCTAATGCTGATTATTGCATGTTTGATCATTAAAATAAACTCCTTAATCGATTGTTATGTTGTCTCTTTGTCAAATGGCAGGTAAGCAATTGCTAACAAAGACCAAAAAAGATAACATCAGTTCTACATTCTTACAAGTTAATCCATTTATTATTCTCACAAATTTACTCTTAGACGTCGGCAGCATAGATTTAATTTAACTAACTACCTTTGTGTTAGTAAACATAGAGGGCTGATTTTATTTAATTAATCATGTTGGTATAAGTGAATATCATTTTTTTTTCCTCATCAAAACTTGTCACGTGTTGATAATTAGATCAAATTCAAGACTGATGAGCATTCAAGACTCGTGAATGATTATGCATGCCATCCCAACTAACACATTTTTATTTTTTAAATTTTTGTTAGTTTAATGACAATAAACAAAAATATCGACAATTCAGACTTGACGTCACTTTGATTAAATTGTCCAAATATAAACAGTCTAGTCCATATTTATTACTTAAATTTAAAAAAAATTATATATATATATTCCAATTAATTAAAATTATTATATTTATAATTTAAATTAAGAATTTAAGAATTGTTACCTTCCATTTATGTTCAGACTATTTTATCTCAAACTTGCCATTGCGCCCCTTTTTGACAATGTCCCGAAAAACGCAACATGAAGCAGGTCCAAAGTATTTAGTTGGGCTTGTACTTGACAATCAAATTGCTCAATTGATTGTCCTAATCTAGTAAAAAAAAAAAAAAAAATTTTAAATTACACAATCAAAATGTCCAATTTTTGTTCCCCATATTTCCTTCAATTAAATATTTCGAAATATTAAGTATAAAAATTTCACGTTAGTGACCACCTCTTATCTAGAACTAAGAATATATTCAAGAAACTCTCTAACGACAAAATACATTGTATTTTAGAGAGTCAAAAAGTGGTCTCTCTCTCCAAATTTGGAGAAGCAAACCCACTCTTAAATTCACTCTACATTCTTAAAGAACGGTGATTACATTTATTAAGTTACAAATTCTAATACTCTACAATTTAAATTATTCAAATCATATTTGAATTGATTGGTCATTGACATATAAAAAATTATGTTAAACATGATACGATGAGAAATCAATAAATGAAAAAAAAAAAAAAAACCTCAAAATAGAGAATATTGTTGAAACGTATAAAAAAAAAACTACTCTCTAAATTTAAAGATGGTCTCTATTATGCAATAAATGCTCTTTAAAATAAAAGGTTCTAAAGCGATATTACGATAGTATTGATTTATTTGATGTAACTAGTTAAGAACACGGAACTTTGCACATAATTTCGTAATATTGTTTTTAATTTTATTTTTGTTATTGAAAATTTGAAAATTTTTAAAAATGTTATGTGGAAAGAGTAATTTTTTTTTTTTTTTAAATAATGGAAGAACTCGTAACCGCTACCCTTCGAGTGCACACTGGGTACACCCTCATGTGAGATAACATTAAATTATAGAATCAATAAAGTGAGTCTCATATCCATACACATTTAATTGGTACATACAACATTATTCTTATATAGAGGGAGGATAATTATAAAAATATTAATATTGAAATATTTTCGTTATAGTTTAGATAAAATCGTCTATAAAATAATTCTCATCTCATGCAACACATATATTATTATAACTATTATTGATAACCATTATTCTTGTTATTGTAGATTGATAGATAAACTGTAACATTAAATAATTATTAAGAAATACAATATTATTTATATTACTTTTCAATTAACTATGTAAATTGAGCATACCTTATTTCTTGATCAAGGTTGATCTTCTCATTTATTGAACTTCCAATGTGTTATTAGATGAGTCGTACTTTTGTATATGGGGGCCTAATTTTATGGAATCTGGATCTATCCATTGTACGGTTTAGTATTGTGAGTAAATTCTCCGGTTTAAATTTCTATTTAAATAACTTCATATAATCTTACTAAATATTAGCAAATTATTCACGCCGTACAATGGTGAACGTATACACATTATTGAATTATGATAACATATACACAATGTCAAACTACTTAAATTTTTATGTATCGCTGTTATTGTTCTATTTCTTTTTTATTCTATTGTTCACATTTTGCACAAAAATGATGCAATAAACATTGAAGTTTCACCCACCATACTCTGTTACTATAGACAATTGTTCAAAAGAAACTTCAACAATCTTGAATAAATATTATGAATCAATACATATATTTTATATAGAATCACCACTAACTCTAAATCTTGGCTAAATGTTAGACAGAAAACTCGAGTAGATCCATAGATGGTGGAATAGATAGGAAACGTTGGTCAAAGCACGATACAACATTCATAGACAGAAATAGCGAACTCCTTCATTGCTACGAGTGTCAATTCGTCTATTGTTTAGAAAAACCTCTCAGTTCCAATCCGAACATTTTCATTACTTTCCCTTTTGCCTAACTATTTTTTCAAGTTATACATGCTTTAATAACTTTAAAATTTTTTGTTTCTCATTAGAGTTACAAGAACATGGTGGATATTAATCATGAACAGAAAAAATAAAAAACAGAAAAGTTGAAAAAGAAAAGGAAATAGGAAATAAGTGAACCGGGAAAACCCTAATCACACCGGTCGGTCTCACATCGTCGAACCCTTCCTAAATTCCATACTTTCTTAATATTTATATATCTGTATTTTATATTTCCTCTCTGTCATTTTCTCTATTTACATTATTTGTACACTTGAACTACTAAATCATTTCGAACAAGAATGGTTAAAACCAAAAATCAAAAATCAAAACCTACTAGACAAGTGAAGCAATCGCATGTATTTCTCCCCAAAACATTGAATTTTTTACACTGTTCAATTATAGTTCAATGTTTGTTTGCTAATTTTATTTTATTTTATGCAACTTGTGAACAGAGTAAAAAACGTGGAAAGGAAAATGATATATCTGAATTTCGGGCTCAGCTAGATGTCTTGGGGTTGAAAATCATTCAAGTGACTGCCGATGGTAATTGTTTCTTCAGGTTTGTTGTAATTCATGCACGCTGATCATGATGAAATATGTTTGTATGATGAAATATGTGTGTATTGAAATCATTGTTCTGGTGTTAATTTATGGTTATTTTAGCAACTTTACTAATGTATTTGGCAGGGCATTGGCTGATCAACTGGAAGGCGACGAGGATGAATACAATAAGTACCGGTGTATGGTAGTCGAATTTATTAGGGTAAATTTCTGCCTTATCGGAAATTAATGTAGTTTGCTTCATCGATTTTATTAAGGTAATTTACAATAAATTCAATGACTCAGAGGGTGTTGAATGTTTTCCTAGTATATAAACATTGTTTCTTTCGAAAACTTCCATTGTATATTTGTGAAGTTGCTATTATTTGGATAGTAGGGGTTCGTGCTTGAGCTTCTCGTATTAGGAGATTTTTGGGGTTTTAATTGAATAATTGTATTTTTAGACCGAAAATATAGAATTTAGAGATTAGGACTATTATATATATGGAATAAATTTTGCTTGGAGTGAGGTTGTATTCTTTTTGAGACTGATCCAGTCTTGCCTTTTTAATGTTATATATTTCATATGTTGTGCTTCAAACCTTCAATGCTAAACGGTTGATGAGCTACATTTCACAGAATAATCGGGAGAAGTTTGAGCCCTTTATTGAAGATGAAGTGCCATTTGATGAATACTGTAAGTCCATGGGCGAGGATGGCACTTGGGCTGGACATATGGAACTGCAAGCTGCTTCTCTTGTCACTCATACTAACATATGCATTCATAGAGTAAGTAATTTCTCTCTCCTTAAGCTTTTTTAGCATTATTTTGGACAGTTCCATTATCTCTATTGACGAGTCAAAATGTCGAAGCTTCCATTAATATTTAAAAGGAAACGTTATGTTTCTCATGTTAGTTTACTCTCACTATCATCTAAGAGTTTCTTAATTGACTGAGAATTTACATTCACTTGTTTTTATAGCACATGTCACCTCGCTGGTATGTACAAAATTTTGATAAACGTGAAGCTCGGATGATTCATCTGTAAGTACTCCTAAAACTCTGGTTGTGAATAGTTAATAGTATTGATTAACAAGCATCTATTTTTGTTTATAATTTCTCATGACCACTCTGACTTTTGTGTTTCTGGCGTTTTATGTCTGCATCATCTGTTCTTTCATTTCCCTTCTACGTTCTATTTTGATATTGTATGATAGGTTAGATTCCACTTATGAAGGCCTAAAGTACATGACGTGAGATTCATATGCTTATTTCATTTGTTTATGGACATTGCCGTGGAACTGTTGCAATCATAGCAGAAACTGGTAGTTAATGGTTTATTCAAAGGAATAGTGGCTAAATACTTAAAACACATAGGCAATTAATCTTGACTTTAGTGGTTGGATCAGTTATTAAGTTTTGTTAACACACAAAACATTATCCTATATTTAGCCGTGGTTGCCATTATGGGTTCTCTTTGTCCACATTGGTCAATGCTAAGCTATCTCTGGAGTTGCACCACTGAGGTTTTAATCTTTTTTATTGCCCATTCCATGCGATGACTAGGAAAATGATTTGGTGCGTTTGATTAGTTCTTGGAAAATTACCAACCTTTATGAATCTTTATAACATTTATTAGTTATTACATTATAGGGTTCATGAATTCCTATATAAATATTCTATGAGCTCGTTTAGCATGACTTTTGCTTTCCATAGAAGAGTTTTTGGAAGAAGCTACTTATATTTTTGTCTGGAAAACTAAATTTAAAAGAACTTCCTATTTCAAAAGTATTTTTAGAGGAAATCTCATTGGACAAATTTTCTCTAAAGGCTTCTAACAAGAAAAAACACTTTCTTAAAATTAGCCAAACGGATACAATAACAACTTTTGGGTGTTAAAACCTCATTTTAACATTTCAAAAGCCATGCCAAACGGGCCTATGTATGTGTTGAAATTCATAGATTTCATGTTTGGGACGAGGCGTAGTTTTTTGTTGTATTGTATGATAGATCCACTTCTCAGCAAATGACTAAAAGCTGATTTGAGTGATTCATCGATTGTGATTGAATTTTTATTTTTTATTTCTTCTCAATTTCATGATTATTGAGAAAGTTCGAGGTAGAAAATGATTTATAATCTTAGTTTGGCTATAGTCAAATTATCTCTCCAGGTTACTTAGTTTTATTCTGTAACAAATACGTTAACCAATGATTGTTGTGTCTATAATATTGCTTTCCCGCTTTCATAGGATGGCATGTTTTTCAGTTCATTTCGGGTTATGGTAAGAAGTTGGGGCCGACTTCTATTTCCTTTAAATGGTAAATTTAGAAAAATATCAGCACTAGACCATGAGAAATACCCTACAAGCCTCATAGAGTGTATTTTTTTCTTTATCCCAAAGAAAGAATATCCTTAAACCCCTATTAAGGAATGTGTTCGTTTCAATGCTTTAATGTAGCCCATCTGTTTCCTAATGTGCCAACCATGTTCAATGTTGATAGATGACATACTATCCAATAGTTTCAATATGCTTTACTTCTACCATTGTGAATTGGATATCTTAGTTTACTTGGCACAAATATTTAGTTATGGATTTAAAAACATGATTCAGGCAGTTAGTTAGATTTTACATTAATTGGAGCATGGATTCATATGCTGTTTAATTGGAGTGGTTGATGCTTATGGTGGGATCTTTAAACCAAGGGTAGTTTGGGAAGAATAATTAAAGATCAATTTATTAGGGAATCTTGCATTGATCTGGGAATACTTTAGGTCAAAGAGAATACAATCACGGTAAGATTGAGAACCATGGCTATAACCACTTTGCATCCACCTCTTTTGTCTGGTAGCGTAGTGGAAAGTAAGGGCATGTTCTCTTTACTATTTTCAAGTCATTTTCAGTTTTTAATTTTTGAAAACACTGAAAACACGTTTACTTACCTATTTTCAAAAACAAGCTTAAAATTTACAAAGAAAACAGAAAACGCCAAAAAAGTTGTTTTGGCTATTTTACATTTTTTCCTAAAATATGGCTCAAACATGGGTATATATATATTTAATAATTAGTTTTCCAGTTTTTCAAAATTAGAAAGTAAACGCATTTTTCATTTTTTTATTTTTGAAACCAATTTTTCAAAATGACAAAAAGAACACAATTTTAACAATCTCACAATGGACATTCAAAACACAAAATTCAAAATGAATTCAAAACTCAAAACTAAAAATTGAAACACGAAGAAAACATATCCTAAGCTACTGAAATTTTCAAGTTTGTAATCAAGTTGGTGACAATCCTGGTCATGCCCTGACATTTTCATATGCTTGCTGCTATGGAGAAGAGAGAGAAACTGCATGATTATTTATTTATTTATTTATTATTTTTTTTGGTGGGTGGGTGGGGGGTAAATTTTGTTTTCTACCATTAACTTTTCATATTATGCAGATCTTATCATGACGGAGAGCATTACAATAGTGTTCGATCTAAGGATGATACTTGCTCTGGACCAGCTAGGCCATTTGTTATCAAGGTTTTTCATTTATTCTTTTAAAATTCTTTTTCCTAATTTAATTTGAATGACTTTTCTGTTATTTTTAGTGTATCGTTTTGTAGGCTGTACCAAATTCTGATTATCTCATATTATATCAAAAGGCTGATGCAGATCTTTCCGTGACGTCTAATCAAGCAAAAGGAAATGCCACAAAGTCTCAAAGGGAAGCTGGCGCGAAAACTATTCAGGAAGAATCTATCAAAATGGTAAAGGCTGGAAGTGGATGTGAAGATGCCAGAAAGATCGAACAGGTGCTTGTCCCCACCCAAAACACCACCAAAAAAAAAATAATAATAATAATAAATAAATAAATAAATATTTATATATGAAAAGAAATGAAAACAACAAGAATAACCATGCAAAACAAGGAGAATGGTAACATATAGTCAAGTATGGAGTTGCAAAATATCTCTTACTTATAATTTGGTATCATTCTAGGTTTTGCTACATGTGGGTGGTGATGTTGACGCTGCAATAGAATTTCTTATAGCAGAACAAGGACCTGATGATCACATAGTTGACAATTACAAAATTTCTTGTCCAATAGAAAACTCTTGTGGTAATGGCTTGTTGGTGTATTGTTTACATTCATCCGCTACATGATCTTGTCTGTTATTTGTATTTTATATCCAGTCTTGTTTTTGCGGACTGTCATGGAGGTATCTTTACTTGATTTAGTCTTTTTTATTCTCATTGATTGCTTAATTATATGAATGTTCCTTCCTGACACCCAGGATACTAATGCATTGTTAGGAGAATCTCTATAGTGGTAATGGTCGAGAGAGCATCTAAGAAATGTCATAGCATTTTTTTGGCTGTGGGACTTGATTTTCTATTCAGTTTATTTGTTCCTCTCAACTGATGATGTATCTTTGCTTGCATATATGCGTGTTTAACGTCAAGTTCATGAAATCATTGATAACATGAACTATAGATAACATATGGTTGCTAATTTTTTTCCACAATATTTTCCTAGTAGCGGTGTCCTCCCCACTATTGGTTCCTAAGCTCATCAAATAGAAGAATAATATCACCAGTCTATTTACTTCTGCTTTTCTTCTTTGCTTGCTGTGAGAATCTGTTCTCTTGTGAGTATTTTCTATAAAATGTAAGCTGTTAGTGGGAGACTTCATATGATTATTTTGAATTCCTTCCTATTAATGCCTTATGGTTTTGCTTTTGTTGGCAAAACTGCTGCCCAGCTGACCATCGGGATGAGGACTGTGAACAGAACAAGTTAAAAATTGATGACTCGGAAAGCAAACGATTTTTACCTTGCAATGATATGGAAGAAGAGAACAGCTCTCAACATGATGAAAAGGTTTTATGGTTTATATATGAGATAATTAAAATCGAAATCCGAAGTATCACGTCTCTTCAATTGTCAATTTGATCCTTATTCACTTTGCCAATTTTTTGTCGCTGCAGAAAATTCCAAGAAACAAGCCATGCCCATGTGGTTCGAAAAAGAAATACAAATCTTGTTGTGGAACAGTTTCTGCTAAATCTTCTGCGAGAATTGCAGTGTAAGCTTCTTTGAGGAATGTTCTTTTTTAGGACAATTAATTTGTTTTACTTATACATTAACTTCACCCAAATATCTAAAGATGATATGGCTAGATTCAGCATAAATTATGCATACTCAGGTAAAGTAGACAGACAATGTTTTTAGATGCACATCACTGGAAAATGAAAACCGACATCTAACAATCTATGAATCTATCAGAAGTCAAACTTCATCACCATGTTTGAGGTTCCCTATTTGAATTTACATGAAAAAAATCTTCTTGGAAGTATTATCTTCATAACTTATATTAAGACGACACTTCAAATATTGTTCACCATGTGGTAATTCCAATTTTGTGTCGCTGAATGCCTCTTTCAGAACTCCATATCAATGGGCTTTCTATATGAACAATCTATAATTACTTTCTTTAGATTTGGATTTAAGCTGAAAGAAACAGGTGAAAACAGTGCTAATACTTGCGTCGGATCTTGACTCCTTAGTAACTAAATGATTTACTGGATGATAAGTTTCAAGCTAAACTATTATGGAATGCATTCACAATTCCTTTCCCACACCTACTCTAGGAATCTTGTTCTCTTAACTTGTGATGGTTTTACTTTGACAGAAACCGGACAGTTGAGCATGGCAAGAGTCGAAAAGACAGAAAGCAAGTTAGAAAAGGTGGGTCAAATGCTTTGAATTCCATTCAATCAGATGGAGGGCCACCTGATATGGGTGCATTATGTATCTAATAACATTTTCAGGTATTGTTGCCATTGCTGCTGATGCTCTACGATTTTCCATTGAGGCGTGGCACAAGGAACAACTTCTTGTGTAGTCTGAAATCATAATATCTAGGCAGACTGATTTAAGTCTTTTAATATCTATCTGGTGTGGTGATGCTTGGATTTTCTAGAAACAAATTCATCAAATTTTGAACCTTTAATGAAGAAGGCAAGAAAAGTAGTTCTTATTATAATTAGGTTGGCTAAGTTTGTATTGAAGTAAATGTTTCGGGTAACAAGATAGGATTTAGTGGGAAAAGATGTATACCAGTTTCTTAAAAACTAAACAATCAATACTAATATGCTTCTGTTCATGCATAAATCATTTGTACAAAATGATTAACATAAAGTCACTTTTGCTAAAAAGCGTATTGTCGTTTATATATCCCCTGTCTCGATTACCCCAAATGAAATATGTATGCTCGTCTTTTCTTGTTTTTAGCATGCTGTTGTTTCTCCTCTCACCCAAACCTCCATATTGATTGATGCTACAATAATAAATGTAAACCAAGGAGATTACTCTTTCATTTTATCTTTGAGTTATTCATGTATATGGGCTATAGACGAAACTACCATTCTTATATAATCCCCATTTATTCTACTTTTTCTAACACGTCAGTGTTCTTATACTACTTCGGATGGCTAATAGATTTTCTATTTGCCCCTTGTAGGTTTATCATTAACTGCTATGCGCGGATTTGCAATTTAAGAGAAACAACCCTGACCCCTGTTTAACAGAGCGGATACAGAAGGTCGACATATATGTACTTGTAGCATACCTGCCAGCACTCGGAAAATATAGGAAGGAATGCTCGGCAATGGCAGCTAAGATTTTGATTTTGGTGATTCGTAAAAGGTCCAAATACCATAAAACCTTTGATATTTTGTGCTAAATTTTGGTCCATATCTAAATATTCATTCACTGTATATTGATGGATTTTCCCTAATTATGATGTGAAACCCTACCTGATTTATATTTGTTGGGCATGTATCATTCAACAATAAGCTAAGAAACAGTTGTCCGCCAGATATGATTAATTGATCCGTATCGTTTTATCTTACAAGAAAGTCATTTAAAGGGGTATCTAAATTTGGTAAAGTTTATACAGTGTTTTTATTCAGTTATTCTACACAAAAAAAATCTGAAAAAGGTTTGTAGAAGTTTGTCAAACAATAAATTTTATTTTAAGAAATCAATTGATTGAGTTGATAGATCGACATGACATCATTAATAGATTTATTACCTAAAAATTTTAGAAATAACTCTTACCGTCCGAATATATATCACTTTTATTAGACTATGTTCAAATAACATTAACTACCTAAACATAGGTTTGATGTACTTTTAAACCTGGTGAATTGTGCTCTAAATAGGGATGAATTAAAAAAGTTGACAAATATTAAAATCGGACTAAAATTGTTGATTGAGTCAACTAGACTTGTCAGCGTGTTGGTTTTGGGACGAATTAAATTGTTGAAAACAACTTGATTTAGCAACTGAAAGTTAAAAATTGTTTGAAATCGAACGAATCATTAATATAATTTTAAATATATGAATACGAGTCATACTTTGTTAATCTTATCATTTAATGTCATATCATACGATGATCATTTTTAATGAAAGATAAATAACATTGCTCGTGCCAAAGAAACATTAAAATTCAAACGTTGCATAAAATTAGTGAAAAGATATGTCATGCATGAGTTAATTCGAAAGTTGACATGCATTTTGTAAAATCATAATCTTTGTTCCTAATTTGGGAAATCGTAAGCATCTTTATTTCCTTTGAAAGGTGTCTTTTCATCTCCCACTTTCCTAATTTTGGTTTGTGGGGGACCTAATTGATGAATTCTTTAGATGGAATGGGTCCCCTTAGGTTTTTAATAATCATAATTTTGCACTATCATGGTTGTTCTTTATTGCACTTCTGCCCTCCATCTAATCAACCGTGTGTTTGGCTGAGCTTAAAAAGGAGTAAAACTTATTTTCAACTCTTTTCGTTTAAAATTTACATATTTACTTATAAAGAAATTAAGTAAATTTTTTCAGCTTAGCCCAATCTAACTCTCATAAATGATTCATTAGTTAAAATCAGTCGCCAAATGTAATTAAGTTAATAATGCGTGTAAGTTTGTGAAAATAAATGAATTATTAAGTTCAACTTAGTATCTCAATAATCTAGTGTAATTTTGATATCTATATAATTCATATGATCATTTAAATAAAAAAAATGAAGCATGAAGAATAACATAAAGTTTAGTTCAAACGAGAACATTAATTTTTCAAAAAAGTGCAAAAATAGCATAAATCTTGAAACCTTTTGGCTGTGGAGAGTAAACTTGTTTATTTTTACATCGTCACTACTCATTAATGTCATGTATGAGCTACGTAAGAATAAGGATACCACGTAGGGCGTAGTTTCCAGGTCATCACAAACCACATGAGTGCCCCGCACGAATTACAAACGCTTCACTAAAATTAAAGTGCTTCATCAAACGGTACAAGTGTTCTGATTGTCTCAAAGGTTCTTCAATAAAGTTCATATCCGCTCCTGTGAAGAAGGGACTTGTGATATGGCTTGCACATAGATGAACCCCAAGCCATGTGAATGAAGTGAGCCCAAACCTTAGTTGCCTCGTTGGTCAATGCGAACGGAGAACCTTCTTGTTTTGAGGGGAATACTCCTTCCCTTCCTTGACAATGGTTGCAATGGTACGACAACTGCCCATGAGGTTATTTAAAATAAGGTAACAATCTCCTGACACTCGTATTTCTTTTTCGTTGGAAAACTTTTTCCATTTGATGCATGTCAAATAGGTAATAAATTCCCTCGATTCTAATGTCGTATAAAGTCCTCGGAGTTGATCAAATAAAAGGGAATGCAATATTCAATCTTGTCAAAACTTAAAGCACTTATTTTCTCACATTCAATTACATTTTCAGCAACTGACTTGATCGTCAGAGTGCAGATGATCATCGGAGCATCCCTTGGACAACTACTTTTACATCCTAAATCTCTTAGTACTCATGTTACGTAGGTTGATGGAGAGATGACAAGGAATTTTGACTAATGAGTCATTCGAATATGGAGAGATCAACCATACATATTATAATTCTAATATTTAACAAGAGTTTAATATATCGATAGAAAGAAAAAAGAAAATATTATATGAATACTCTCAAGACAAAAAAAGATCAAAATACTTTCAAATCCATAAAATGGCTATATATGTATAACTTGCGTAGATATATTTAGTCTATGTTTGACTCATTTTTTAAAATACATTTTGTTTAAATTAATTTTCAATCATACATTTTTTGAAATTCACATTTATTATCAATTTATTAGTTATACATTTCATCAACTTTTATCAAAATTTACTAAAAATTAATTTTTAACTAAATCAAACGGGGCTTAATTATTATAATTATTGTTGGACAATAATACCCCACCAAAAGCAAAGGTGATCGAATGGCTACAATCTTCTACATGTCGTGGCCACTTAGAACAACTCTTTAATCTGTCCAAATGTGGGAAGTCTTCAAAACATGTGGTGTACGAGAAAGGAATAACAAATTGAAAACTAACACTTTCTTTTATTTATATTTAAAATTTCTTCCATTTTTGTGGATGAAATTCTTCCAAGTTTTTACCAAAACAATAATTGACTTCTATTCTATCTACTTGTTTTCAATTATCCCTTACCTAATCATCTTGTACCAGTCCCTGTATTATATTATCCATTTAGGACGAAAATGACACCACATCGAGGCTGCATTCCCGAAGGCACCGTTCTAGGAAGAAGAAGAAGATGATGATGATGATAAATTTTGGGGTTTACGGTAGTGCCAAGTCTGGGCAGATGTAGAATTTAAAGATTTTTTCAATCTAATTAAAACTAGGATACACGTTATCATCTTTTTAATAGAAATTTGCCTTTTTCAAACTGATCCGAGTTGAACAATGAAGAGCTATAATTATTGAAAAGTTAAAAGAGTTGGGGACATGCTTGCTCTGGTTTGCATAAATCGAAATGTCTTGCTTGAATTTTCCTTTTTTTTTAGTTTTTTCTAGAGGAATTATGTAAAACTTATAACAATTAGTAAATACATCATGTAGAAGGGATATATGTGAGTATGTAATTGTTTGAATGTGTCTAAAAGTATTAGGAATGTGTGTAGTACTTGATTGATATTAGGGTGGACACAGAAATGGCAATGGCCGAGCCGAGCCTTAAACACACAAGCTTGGCTCGGCCTACGAGAGCTAGATTTTATTTTATTTTTATTTTTTGAAAATTTTCAAATTATTATTCACATTTTTTACGAGCTCGGTTGGTGAACTTTTGGCCTACGAGCCGCTAGCGAGCTCGACGACTCGTGCTCGATGAGCCCAAGTCGCCCACGAGCCGCTCAGCTAGTTTGACATCCCTAGGTGGGCGTGGACAAGATTGAGGCTTCAATTTTAGAAATCCATGCAATCATAGTGGCCGATCGCGATGGTAGATGGCTAGGGGTAGTTGTTGGTCTTCATGTAAGAGTCAGTGTATAAATTGAAAATGAGAGAAAATTAAATATCAATTAGGGTCTGGATCTCCAAAATGAATCAAAGTCTCCAGTCTTCACATTGATATATGAGAAAAAGTACATGACTTTTTTGTCCTGATTTTCAATTGGAGTTTGAAGGTTTTGAAATCAAATCGAATCGCTCTATTTGATTTGATCTGATCATTTTGTCCACCCCTACTTGATATATTTGTTTTTGTCATTAAATAAATTATTTATTTAGGTTTTCCTAAAGAGCAAATTGCATAGAACTTCTCTAAGGTTTAAGACAATTATTAAAGATCTTCCCTCTATTTTTAAATTTGTTAAAAATCTCCATTGAGGTTTACTTTTGCTATCAAATTTCTCCCCATCAGCAAAAGCAATTTTTTTCCCTGAACATTTGCTCTTTTTTTTCTTTTTTTTTTTTATTTGAGAAATCAAAATTGAAAAAAATTATATTAAGATGAAATCATTTTATACAAATAATAAGTAGCATTTTTAAACTAAGAGAGTAAATTTTTTATAGACTCTAACAATTCTTTATTTTGGCTCTTATTTTGTTGCTCTTAAAGAAACATTTATTGATTTTTCCTAATATTTTATTTAACATAATTTTTTTATATAATAGCCAATCAATTAAAATATAATTTTAAAATTTTAAAAGTATGGTATTGAAATTTTTAGTTTAGTAAATGCAATTGTTGTAAAGTAAGAATAGATAATGGATTTGGCTCTCCAATTCTTGAGAGCAAAATCTACTCTCTATTTTAAAAAGTTAAAATATAAATTCTATTAGAACTTATTTTTAAGTATTAACTCTCTAAAATAGAGAACATCTTGTATTTAGAGAGTCTTCTAGAGATACTCTAAGTGTTTCTAATTGTTCATGCAGGCGAATACAACTCATATGTTCGATTGGAATTTTTTGTCCTAAATCAAAACAGAGGCTAGCACTTTGTTATGATATCGACGTAGGGTCATCTACTCTACTAATTGAGATATGTTGCTTGTCTTGATTCTAGCAAGTGTACATTGTGGGTAATGACACTAGCACAAGTGAAAGTGTGTTAGACACGACAAACATGTGAAGTTCAATTAAACTTCTTGTGTATATCTTATAAATCACCTAAATATGCAATGGAATCATTGTTGCCATTCATGGATTCGAGGACCTTTGATGTGCCAAAGAATGAGATCAATTAATATTGTTAAATACCTTGGTACTTTAAAAACATAGAGTAAGCGAAGTAGTCAACTCGTGTTCACGCACAAAAATCATCACCTATTGAAAGATTAAGTGAATATCTTAAGTGATTTTACTGAACAGTTTAAATATGAAATTGTCGGAGAAAATGAAAGATTAAGTGAGAAAATAACTAGAAGTGTGAAATTGATAAGATGTAAGTGTGGCAAGCAAGAGGATGGAATTGCACAAAATTAAAATGCATTTCTATATTTACATATCCATATTTGAGCTCCATTCTTTAAA